ACTATGAACGGTTTTTAAATTGACTGAATATATTAAAGATGTTGATTTTGACATTACTTCTCTTCTTATCGAGTGATACACGATTTTTACCGAATTAACTATATCATATACCTACTACCGACCATAGCAGATGACTGCTGAGGTCAAAAAAATATATACCTATGCCTTTCTAGAAGTCTTTTATTTTAATATTTAAATCGATGGTGTTGTCCATATGTATTTACCTTAATTAGGTACCATAAAATATAAGATGTTTTTTTCTTTTATATTATACCATGACCGATTGAAAACATTCTGCTCTAAAATTGTCTTTGACTGAACAGATAACGTAGTGTGACACTAAAATGGGTAAAGCCTCGTACTATATACATAATGCTAAATAGTTGCATTATATACTTATAATACGATATTTTTGTTCTGGTTTGTAAATGGGTTCTTTTCACCATGTTTAGAATATAGCAAAAATTTATAGTTTCTTTGCAGATCCAAGAATAAAAAAATAGGTAAGATAAGGTGAAGAACCAGATGGTTACAATATTTATTCCTTTTGATGTTACTAGTTTTGCAATAAAAACTTGTAATCATTTTATTATAAAAAAAACAATATGAATAATTTGTTTACCCTTAATGGCATACTGTTAGTATACTGTCAATTACTGTGTTCTGTGGTTAGCATTGTGAGTACATAAACATAACGAAAGAAAAGAACTGTTTGTTGTAATTGCTTAATTACATACGAATCAGTAAGTATTGTATTTTCATTCTTACAGGTTCGTATTTGTCACATTTTGTAAAATCGTTTGAACTAATAGATTTAATAATCAATGGTTTCATTCATTACAGCTAACAGACATTCTGAAAGTGCTATTCTGAATCGCTTTATTTTTTGCCAGTGGTTACTATTTGCTTAAACAACTTTAGCTATTATGTTAATGTTATTTACAATAATAAACAATTTAACGGACTGTTTCTCAATCATTGTATTTTTTTTGTAATAATTAAAAAAATAATAGCCACCTACACATATATTCTATACACGAACACATTTCCCCATTTGAAAAATTTGTCTTTTATGATATTGTTATGCAACATAACTTACTATATGGCAAATGTGAATATTTTATCTAGATATATTAGCATCAGAAATGGGCGTTCCTTTTTGTTAACATACCTGACCGTGAAAAGCAACAGGCTTTTATCGCAAAAATAAAAATAAGCAAGATATTGATTACATCATAATAAAGTTCTAAAGTGTCACGGAGCAAATTTTTTAGGATGCCCTCACAGATATCGTTAAGAAGAAAATGTTTTATGGGTTTTAATAAGAATAGTGGGTGCATCAAATTTCATTTTACATACAGTACCTACTCATTTCTTGAAAAATATAGGTACATACCTATAACCAACAAGTGTAATAACCTAATAACAGATTAAATAAATAGATTCGAAAATGTTAGAAAAATTTGTAAAAGACCTCAACTTGTCACCCCAAATTAAAAAGGTCAGAAGTAGTATAACTCGTTACGAATTCTAGTAGGTATGTAAAATCCTATAATGGAGAACAAAATATACAACAAATAGTATCAGACCATGCTTCTCACAAAACACAACGTACTGTAATTATAAACTAAAAAATGTATCTTAATTTTGTTGTAACTGACAAATAAACAATGGCACATTTTTCTAAAAGCGTTTAATTCTGTTTTCAATTTAGTAACCTGTTGTTATATGAGGTTTCAAACTTAATAATATACCTGTTAAGTTCAATGTTATATATGCGATAACTCTTCCTACTTAATAAACCTAGAAGTGCAAGTATACACATATAGAATTTTAACAAAAATTTTGGTTCAGTCACTATTACTATATCTACAACGTGAGTCTAACAATATGAATACAGTTGGCGCTTTGAGAAAACAGCAAAATAATTTTATAGCCTACCTAAATTTTTGTTTGTGTTTCAAATAAGTATATGATGATAGAGAATAATATGAATTTCGCACGATAAGAATAGAAATAAGCAATCTCTATAAAAAAAACAACTCTAGAAAGTAGGATGCTAGAACGTCGTAGCGCCTCAATAACATATAATATAATAACTCATCCACCTAACTTTGTTATTATTCGTCGAACTTCATACAGCTCATCAGAACCGTTATTATCTCCTGCCAGAGCTGCGGTTTCTTGGTGTCCACACTCACAGAACTTCACGCGAAAGTTCGTGTCACTGTTTTAAGCAACATTGAATTTAACATCTGCCCAATTTTGAAGAATATTCAGGAAACTTGTACCTAGGGATTGTGTGTTTTAAATTCCCGCAAGACACCAGGTGGCTCACGATGTAAATGTATGTGGCGGTAGTGGTTCGAGAAATAGGGATTCTGGTGGTGGTTGTGGCAATCGGCACTTCCTTTGTAAATGTGGTGGTTGTTGAAGAAGATGAATAAGAAAGAAGAAATGCAAATGTCATTACCATTTAAAGAAAAATATTGTTGAGACTATGGTCGACGTTCAAGTAATATGTAAAAAAAATATTGTATTTTCCTAGTAAACTGTTGAGATTTTAAATGAAACCCAAATCTAACTGTATTGTCTATTAAAATTTTATAAAACTGTTGCCACTAGCGGCGCAAAAATAAAATCGCTCCCAAAATTTTGTCTTATTCTCTACGAGTCTTACTATTACCATGTTAAAGTAAGTAGTGCATCACCTTTTAAGTTGCAGTTATTTAATTAAAAAAAAAGCTTGAGTTTCAAAATTGGTGTCTTACATTCTTAAAAATTAATTAAAGGTATCCTGTAGTAAGTTATGCTTTAGACAAAACAAAAAATATTTGAGAAAAAAAAATGTTAACATATGACGGGTCAACTGTATACAATATACATATACAAAAGTGTTATGTATTTAATTATTGACAAGAATTTAAAACTGTATTTTATTCAGTTATTAGCCGATTAATAATGGCTAAGTTTACATGACAAAATAAAATAAGCTAAAATAAGTCTAGGAAACCAAACTTCTAATGAACATGGTGGTATTACAATTATGAAACACAATCGACCTTTTGTAATATGAATAAAGGAAAAATATCTACCTACAAAGAAAAAAAAAAATTATTCGAAAGCCCAAAACAAATCTGAACTCAGTATCAAAACCGTCACTATTAGAATGACTAATATTTTCGCAAAATAATAGGTATTTGACGTTTGAATCATAAAAGTTAGTTATTATTGCACGGTGGTCATCAAATTCATAAATCTTTTGAACTACCATATCTATTTACACATCAAGAAGTCATAACGAAACGACAAGACGCAGTTATTATTTCAAACTTTTTATCTATTGATTAACGTTTCAAGTTGCGGGGTCACTTCCATATTGGATATTTACGTTAATGTAAATGTAATTTGACAGTAGGATATAAACACCAACTACAGTGGGAAAAGTGAAAAATTCTATTGTGTTTTCAAAATTCCAAACTTAATTAGGACAAAAAACACTTGACCAGGAACTTCCACAAAATTTGAAAAACACATTGCCCATAGTGGTAATTTTTGGGTTCCAAAAGGATAATAGAAAGTTGCAAAAAAATGACGTTTTGCAAACATTAGGTTTATTTGGTTTGAGTCTTCTTCAATTTAAAGTATCTACATTTTCGTGTCGAAAAGAAAATTAAAAAAGCATTTCTTTAATTCGTTGCTATCCGAATACATAAAATTTGTGTTATTGGATTACATTGCAGTTACAATAAGGTGAAAACTTGTTTCAAACAGGTGGAAAATTGACAGTTAATTGTGTTATCATAATAATGACAAGTTTGTCAAATATTCTATTTAGGTTCAAAAATTTTTATTTCTACTTGGAAACAAAATCAGTGTTTATATTTAATTAAACCGGAAGCGAAATAATTACTATGTAAAATTCTAAACTGACACTCCTAATAAGTGTCCATCCAGTATAAAGGAACTTTTTACTGTCAGAAACTTATACAACGTAATTTTTTACCTTGCCGTTATTTTAGAACATACCGCATCGCAATATAATATTTTTTAACTAATTAGAAGTACTCTTTTTTTCACAGCCATACGTCTGGAAAATTTGCTTAATTCTTGACGTCAAGAAACAAGTAACGATAAAATAGCACACTAAGTGATATTATATGTACATATCGTTGGAAAATAACGGCTAAAACACACTTCCACTGTCAAATATCTATACCTATTGTTACGATTAAAAAAATTACCGTCGGCGCCATCATTATCAATATGTCAATTATATTAATTTTATTCTAAATGTTTTGTAAGACTTTATATACCTATTTTTAAACTATAAGCATAGATATAGACTATAACGAATTAATTAAAAATAAAGAAATGAAAGCATTTTACTAAGTATTAAATGTCAAATTAAAATAATTCAAAATCATGTCTGTAGCCTTTTTATATTAGGAATTTTTAACGGCTATGTAACAAAATCAAAACGAAAAATGGTCTCAAATATGAAAACCTTTATATAATATTATATATACTTATTCAATACGGTAACATACCGTCCCCGTCGGTACCACGGTGAGTTATGCAATGTCGATCGAAATCTTGAGAAAATCATAAATGTTAATTCTGTTGTGATAATAATTATAATAATAATATCGTGAATACAGTAGTAAGAGTAGTAATTGTAGTAGTAATAATAATAATAAAAATAATATATCGAAAACATTTGAATGTAAGATGTGATACAGCTAATATATGTGTCAATTGTTTTATGACACTTTAAACTTGTATACTCACTATTACATGTTCTAAACCTTATCATAAGACAGGGTGGTCTTTCGAGTCGCTTCATTAAAAGAATGCCAAAATGTGGCAAAACCGGACTACGGTTGCAGCTTCACCCTTTTAATTTAAGAAAACATTTCACTAATTTTTGTGGAATCGCGCATATTTTTAGGTATACATAGCTGGGCTTGGATAATTTTACAAGTGAAATGTGCACTTACAGGCTCCAGCAACGTGCACCTTCCGCATCCACGGATAAATCTGCCTATCCCCCGTTTCCTCGTCGTCGTCGTCTTCGTCGTTATTCGTCGAACTTCCTTGTCCGTCGTCCCCGTCGTCCGGCTCATCAGAGCCATTGTCCTCTAGCCTCAACCCCAATTCCTGCAAATGCTGTCCAGAGGGTGAGGCTCTCTCTTGGTGTCCCACACTCGCGGGACTACACACACTAGAGTTCACATCACTACTTTGAGTAACATTGGGCGTAATGTCTGCTAAATTTTGGAGGATATTCGAGGAACTTGTAACCGGCGATTGTGAGTTTTGTAAATTCCCGCAGGGCACCAGCGACTGCTGCGACTCGTGCAGGATGGGCGGCCGGATTTGATGATGTATGGGTGGCCCATGGTGCGAGTGTATCTGGGGGTGGTAGTAGTTACCATAGGTCCCGTAACCGCCGTTGCTCAGCGGCGGCACGTTCGAGGACCCGTACGTCTGGTGGTGGTTGTGGTAACCGTACTGGAGGTGGTGCTGCTGCTGGGAAATGTGGTGGTTGCCGAAGAAATCGCCCGAGGGAGACGGGATGTAGCTGCTCTGGCTGTACTCTTCGCTCGGAGGGAACTTGGGGTCCACGACCACGCCGGCGATGTGCTGCGGCTGCTGGTACGCTCCCGGGTTCATCAAAAACGAGCTCATGATCATTAATTTTTCCTCACTTCTCGCCAAAAGCTCTAGATCGCAGCGTGCCGAGAGTTATTCGGTGGGGGGTTTACTACGCACTAGGTTATTGCATAGAGGCTCTTTTTTATTTCCCCCTACCACGCGTGAGCCCCGCCCTCGGCACCCAATTAACTAACCACGTGACGCCACTCTACCAATGCTGAGGCCTGACGTCACCGACCATGATGGATGACGCTACTCGGCCGCCGGGTGGGGGACTCGCATACACGCGGTCGAATAAAACCTCCACGATCGCTGCTTGTTCCCATAAAATTACTCACTGATTCGATTTTCCCCAAAATTAACACCATACAATGAAACTTTTTTTTCACATTCGACGAACGTCTCTCACTGATTATTGTCACTGCGTTCAAAAATTGTTCTTCTTTTTTTCATACCGGGTGTTCCAGCGGGCACGACCTTTCTACTTCCCAGCCGCGCATAGACTGGAGGTTGGTGAAAAGCTCGACTTCCAACTATACTCCTCCCACTTTGGCTGGCGCTACTTCTACACGTCGCCGCTTATCAAACGTTCTCTTGCGCAGTTCGTTTTCGTTCTCATGGGAGTAAAAGAGAACGAGAAGAAGTCTTCAGCGCCGTCATCATGTGCGTCTCTTGGGAGCTTTGATATTTTCGGAAATATTGGACGAATGTTGGGGAGAAGAGGAATCGATGCGAATAGACGTCTACTCTTTTCAGGCATTCGATAATAATTCCAACTTTATGCCAGGTGATCCACTGTCTAATTAACTAGAGAAAAATGCATTTGTGTGAGAATGTTGGTTGCCTTCAATGCCAACTCTTTATGAACCATTAATAATTTTTGTGGCAGGAGGAAAATGTGTGCTTATTTCATTCCCATTTTTAATGTATTCAAAACAACTCTTATTTTAGTTTGTCGCTGTACTGAAACAATGGCAACTGACTTTGGATCTTTAAAAAGTGCTCACACAAAATTGCAATAATGTACGTAGATAGGTATATAAACTAAAGATACTTAGTTATTAGGTACATACCTACATTTCAAATATTGCAGTACAAGTTTTTTATCTTTAAAATGTATCTATACATATTTCGTGTAGGTTTACAAGAGTTTACTTTTTTAAAAAAGGTTAAAATAAAAAACCGGCCACCCTGAAAAATTTCACAAAACCACTTTAAAAATTATTAATTTAACCAGTGATCGTTATTTTATTAAAGAACTATTCACTATTAACACATGATGTACAAATTAGCAAAAAAAAAAGACGACAAATAAACGCAGAATTAAATTTAATTTAACAAAATAACAGAAAGACCAAATACTATATTTTCTTTAAAAAAATAATAAGGGAGGCTGTTGTTGTAAACAGTATTTTTCATCATTTGATTATAAGCTTGGCAATAATTAATAAACGTTTTCAAGCGAAAACAGTTCCACTCTCAAATTGTCGCTCTGCGTCTGTTATTTTGTTAAACTAATTTTTGATTTTGCGTTTATTTGTCTTCTTTTTTTACTAATTTATAGTCACTAGTTAAATTAATAATTTTTAAAGGTTGATTTTGTGAAATTTTTCAGGGTGGCTGTTTTTTTTGCCGGTCAGTGTAGTACATAGCTAAATCGGTTACTGATAAAAGAACAATGGCAAGTAAAAAATTCCTTTTTTCTGACTTGTGTATGAATAGTAGATACGTTGATGGAAATTGATTTCTAAGGATTCTTAATAAAATTGAATTTGTACTTTACGCTTCATTCTGAAATGGGTTTGATTAGTTCCGAAAGATTAACTTCGTTGCTTGGTTGTTAATATAAAAACAACAAAATAACAGATTTGTTATAATTTTAACGTAGTTGCTTTTAAAAGTCAGGTGATGATAAAAAGAAAAAATACATGTATTAAGACACATTAATTAAATCCTTAATATAGATTTCTATACAAATTTTATTTAAAAATTTCTTCATAGCTTTTCTTCTAAATATTTTCAATTTTGTGGCGAAATCCTATAGTTCGTTTCAAAAATACGATTAAATATTCTGGCCAAATGTATTCGGTGAACTTAATATTTTATTGCTCTGAACAAAATAGCTTAGACCTATCTTTTGGTTCGCAGACACTTGTAATATTAGTTTAAAAATTTCACAGTTATACATTTTTATATCGTGTGAGAAGCTCAAGCCGAATATTGCCACCTTTCGGTTTAAAATTTTTTGGAAAATTAAGTTTTAACACTTGAAAACTAAAATTTCGTCAATAGATTAAATAGTAAGTTTTCTTTCAGTAAATAAAAATGAAATTGATAAAAGTGTTAACAGTAATAATTTTTGGACATTTATATGTAGCTGACAGTATTTGGAATGCATTGCTCCAAATACTGCCGTATGCTAATTTGCTACTTATATAAGATAAAATATAAAAAAATCTTTTTATTTTGTTGTAAACAATTTTTACCTTTTATTGAAAAATAAAATAATAATAAAGAAATTTTCATTTGTTCCATATGTCTTGAGTAATTTAATAACTTTTTAAATTAATTTCACATTTTCGTGAAAATTGTTGTCATAATTTGTTTTAATTTTTTATACTTTATATGTTTTTGTTTAAAATAGTTCCAATAATTATTTTTTCACTATTCCTACTATTATCATGATTCTTCGAAATATTACCACTGGCAATAATAGGAACTAACAGAACGGATAGCAAAACAGGGAAAACTCTCTCGTGTTATTAAACTTTATAAAATTTACAGGCCTAGTTTATTAGGTCAGTTTAAAAACACCAATGAATCGTGATAGGAAATGAAAAGGGATATGTTATGGCACGTACAAAAGCACAGCGATATTGCCTTTATACATAGATATAGTATAAAGTAATGATTCACATTTCTAAGAATTTTTACAATTAATTATTTTAGTAATTTCATAACACAAGAGAAAATTAAAAAAAAACATAATTTTTTGAAATCTGGGTACTAAGGAATACTGCTCATAAAACAACATATTCTTTTACATTTGAATGAAGTTGTTAGACTAAAAAAATTTTACATTAATCTTGATGTTAGAAATTTCGATAATTTCGTCGTCTATCCACATTTGCACCTATTAATTTTTCATAGTTCAAAACTGACCGTAGGCAAACCTTTGAAATGAAATCTCAACAGGTAGAAAAAGCTGTTTTAGTATATTTTCTTTACAGTGTTAAAATAAAATTTTGGGTAGGTATTACACTCATTTTGAATAGTTTTGCCCACTTCAAAGGAAATTTAATAAATATTTAAAATTCAAACAAACCACTTTTTTGAAATTATAGTGATAATAATTTATAGAAAAAATAAATTTAGATACGAATGTCTACACACACGTATTGATACTTATCTCTTCAATCACTAGTGGTGTGATATTTTGATCCGCCAAGATCCACCAACTACAGATCTCCTTTCTATCACACAGTGGAGGTAGTAAACAACGTTTGCTGATGGGATATAGATTGAATCGCTCTGTATTAGATCGTAAGTCACGAACGGCCTACCGAGTGACAGTGCTTACTGGCTGCATAAAGCCGCATCAGAACCATTGTTGAAAGTAAAAGGACACAATTATTATTCATTTGTAAATGTCAGTGGTGGCCGATATTCAATATGGTGGGAGTCACCGGACCACACGACATACTTGATAAATGATGTCTGATTCTTAGGATAGCTCTGTTTTTGAACACTTTTGCGATGTGCTGTTGAATATTTTAGGTCTTGGTTCGTGGGACGTGCTTCCGTCTACTCTTCGTTTACATTTGGCGACGTTTCCAGACATGACATGTTTTCTTTCGTGCCGCTATTATAAATAATATGTGCATTTGGAGCTCTCAGTTTTTCGCCTGCTTCCGGACGACGACATTACGAAACATTAACTCCAAAGAAGCGGATTGGATCTGCTCACTCGACAAAACATTTTAATGGATCCTAATGATCTCGCCATCGATTTGTACTCCTTGAAACGAGCAGCAACGAATTAGATCTGCCGTACTTTGCGTGCCATTATCAGAAATCAATATTGTGACTGAACCTGTTTATATCTCGGAAACACATCTTTTGTGTTATGGCAGACGTATGATGGATCGGGTACACTTTATTCAGAAATTGTTGTTATTTGTTTGACATTATTTTTTTCGAAAATCGATCTTCGCGATAATTCACGGCGGAACGTGTTATGACTCTCTCGGGATTTCTGCAAGTCACAGCGTTGCAACTGCAACTCATTCAGGTGAGCACACCGAAGGTTCCTGGTACTGAAATGGGTTTACTAGACGCGAACAACGCGAAAATCGACAATTTTCTGCAGCTTTGTTTACGGAAATAACGCTTTTGTGTGCATGATTCGTTGATGGGTAGGTATCTGTAAACGAAATTACAAAATTTTTCAAATGCCGAGGGACTTGTTTGAAGCGGAAGCCGACCGGCTTTTTCTTCTGAAAGTCTCTAGAAGCAATTCTTAACGTGAGAACACTGTTTATGAAACGGCGGCGATAGTCTCGGGAGATCTGCAACTACAACCTGGATGTCAATACCAACGACATGAGAACTATTCACGTTCAAAAATAGGTTTACAAAAGTTGCTTACAAATTGTTGGCTTTTAAGTGCCGACATAGTAACTAGCGAATTTCGACAAAAAACACATATAAAAAAAAAACGACAACAAAAATATACTTATATACGTCATTTTCACTTTACTCTACTTATGCACTAAAACAACCTAAAGCTGAAACACTGTTTGATTAATAAATAAAATTTGTAGGGTAGCGACGGGCAGGACTCGGCAAGAACTAGGCATGTTACTTATTATTTAATGGACACATCCTGAATTGATTTTTGGGGTATTGCATTTAAAATACTTATTCATTTGGCGAACAACACAATTTGTAAAATTTTTATCTTCTCAAAATAAATTTTACACACTTTAAACATACCTACTTATTTCAAATAACTTCAACTTTTGATGTATAAGTTATGTCCTACTGTAGATTTTCTCTCTGGGTTTTACTTCCCAAAAAAATGTTACGTTTTTTATTCTTTATTATCTTTTCACAACATGCCAAAATGCAGGTTTTCATCTGTCATCTTTTCTATTTTTTTTTTCTTAAATTGTAATTCCAACATCTACTTAATCTCTTATGTCTCTGAAATATGTAATTCCTGGTGATTAATTTAATTCCATTATTTTATTCAAAACGTGCTCAATCTCCAGTTTGTATCTTCATTACACGAATTACAATCTTAAGCACCTCAGTTACGAGTTTAAATGCAAACCGTCATCAGGTGTTCTGTGATTTAATTAAGATTATTATCGTTATATAATTTCAAAAGCCCCTTTAACAAAAAAAAAAGCTTTTCTGTGACTAACATTAAATAACTAAATATATGTAGGTATTTGTATATTGAATATGTTATAC